GGAGCCCGCCGCAGAGTTGAAGTTGGTGTGGGGACCGTGGAAGGTGCGAGCTCGTCTCTGCTCTGACAGGCGGGACGTGGGCCCGGCCGGGTCGCGCTGGGCCTCAGGCCGGCTCCGGGCCCCGGGATTCTGCCAGAAGCACACTTGAGCTTCGCCTCAGAACAGCCAGTGTGGTGGTGCATCGCCCGTCCCCATTGACCACACGTTACGTGACTGAAATCGGCGAAAAACCAGAGGGGCCAACCAGAAATTTCAGTCGTTCGTTCGTGTAAATACCGCCGACGGGCCAAGCGCCGGGCCCGCGGTGGGGCCGAGGGTCGGGCCGACGGGCCTTGTCTCCCGGGTTGACAGCCGGGGCGGCGGGAGTCAAGGCCCATCTCACAGGCAGACGCAGTGACAGCTCTCACTAGGGGCGGCGCTTTAGTGGGGAGATCAGACCAGAAGTCAGGTAGTGGGATCCCCCCCTTCTTTTAAAATATATTTTTATTGATTTCAGAGAGGAAGGGAGAGGGAGAGAGAGAAACATCAATGATGAGAGAGAATCACTGCTCGGCTGCCTCCCGCGCGCCCCCCACTGGGGATGGAGCCCGCAACCCGGGGCTGCGCCCCGGCCCGGAATCCAACGGTGACCTCACGGTTCATAGTTGAGGCTCAACCACTGAGCCACGCCGCCCCCGCCCCTTTATTGGTTTTATTGGGGTCGCATTGGTTGATAAAATTACCGAGGCTTCGGGGGAACAGTTCTGCGTATTGTATTGTGTCCAGCACCCCGAGTGGAGTCTCCTTCCATCACCATGTACCCCCTTTCCTCTCTTTACCACACCCCCCCAGGAGATCGCAGTTTTGTCTTGGTTCCGCCCCTCGTTAGCTTCTGGTTTGTGAACTGGTATAACGTGCCCGCCCAGGTGGTGGTTGGAGGGTCCCGTGGGAACATGTGGCTGGAAGGTGAGGACACTGGTTTACCCAGTGACGTGGAACTAGTATACAGTGCAATTGGGTCCAAGACCCGTGGGCAAGCCAGGCGGCCCTCCCGGTGGTGCCACACCGTCACTGCGGGCGGAGATGTGCGGGTCGTCTCTGTCGGTCATTCGTTCTTGCTGCCCAGGGTGTCGGCCGCTGCGGTCACTGGACATTGAATTGGAGCGAATCCAAACGGATGTGCCATAGAGTGAATGCACAGTGGGCCACGAAGACTCTGTGAAGAAAAGGGATGTAAAACATCTCGATTTTTATGCTGATTATGTGTATTAACATTGCCCACGGATCGCGAGAATTCTCGATTCACATTACACAGTGTTTTACAAAGTCTCATACTTTAAAAAGATACTAGCTTGTAAGAACATGTAATAAATAATTTCAAAATGCAATGGGTATTTAATTTTAAAGCGCCCCTTTAACATTTATGTAAATCATTTTTCGTACTCGTTCAATAGGAACTTATCTGGCCACTGGGTAAAGGTGGAAATAAAACTACTGGTCCGCAATGTGTTAAGATGGCGATATTTGGGGTATGTTGGGTTAATTAAATGTGGCTTCTGGAAAATGTAAAATTATGATGTGGCTCATATTCGTGGCCTCCATTCTTTCTTGTTCTAGAATGAGGATAGAAAGATGAAAGGTGAGGGTATAATTTCTGATTCCAATATCGAAACTCCTAGCTCTTCTCCATCTCATTATGTGGTTGAGCAAAACATTTTAACTGCCACAGCTGAAGGTCTTTTTAAAGCGAAGGGTTTATTGGGCCATTGCTAGGCATGAAACCTAAACTACCAGCAGCACGCGCGTGGAAAAGCTGTGCTGGAGTGGGCGAGTGTGTGTATACGTCGTGTGTGTGTGTGTGTGTGTGTGTTGGGGAGTCTGATCAGTTGTGTCAGGAGGGTTGACACTGGCTCTAGGGAAAGGGGTGGGCGAAGGTGAGGCGGCTGGTTCGGGGCGGGTGTGCAGTCCCCAGGAGGCGTCCTCTGTGGGGGTTCGCTGTGGGCCGCAGGTGGAAGCTCCTGGCGTTGGATGGCGCAGGCGTTCTCTCAGCTAATCGCAGAAACAGCCACCTGGAGGGCAGCCCGGATTCCGCCGTCTTCTGTCAGCTGGCCCACAGCTGTTCACTGGTTAATTACTCCTGTCTGCTGCGCTTACCCTCCGGCTCTCATTTACTAGTAATTGAGAATATCTCAGAATTTAAGACACAGTGTCACCCTTTTCCCCCTCCTGTTTAGAGACCTTTCCTATCCCCTGTAGCAGGGTCAGCAAACTAGAGCCCATGGCCCCATTTTTGTGAATAAAGCTTTATGTGTATTGGAGCACAGCCATTCTCATTTGTTGAGGAATCCTCTGTGGCTGCTTTAGCTACAAGGGCAGAGACCCACGGCCTGCAGAGCTAAAGTACTCACTGTCTGGCCTTGACAGAAAGGTTTGCTGATCCCTGACCTGTGGGAAACAATCAGACTCTCTAGTTAAGTGTTCAAGGCCAGGTCCCTCAACAAATACATTGACGAATGCCCACTGTGTACCAGGAGCTGTCCGGGTGCTAGGAGTGTAAAGCTTCCTGCCTCCTCACTTCCAGCCCCAAAAGTACAACAGAAAACCCCGGTTTTCGTTCTGGTCCTCAGGGAACTGAGCTTCAACAGGGGCCGCAGTTTTCCCGGGGAGGCAGCACAGCACAGGCACAGGCTCAGATCCCAGGTCTGCCACTTACTGACCTTCATTTTGTACAGGTTTGTTGTCGGTTTTGTTTGTTTGTTTGTTAGTTTAGTGAATGTCTCTGTGCCCATCTTTAAATCGATGGTAAAAGTCCCTGCCTCATGGGAGTATTATGAATTTGCAGTGAGTTCATACATATTAAAGTGCTTAGAACAAACAGTGCCTGGAGCATAGTACGCATTCACTAAACGTTACCTATTATTAACGTGTGGCTAATGCATGAAGTTTACAAATTACTGACGTCATAGAGAAGGAGGCAGTTCCGTGGAAGACAGTGGCACTGCTCGGAGAACTGTCTGGAGGAGAGTGATGAAAAATGTTGAACATGATTTGACACCAACCTGCTTTTTCATTTGTGTTTCCTGAGCTCCTCTCCCCAGTATTCTAGTCACACGAGGCTACTCGTTCCCCTCCGAGCGCAGCTCCTTCTCAGTGCGCTGCCTCTAGTCCTGCTCGCCTCTGCTCCAGTGCTGCTTCCTGCACAACTCTCAAGGTCTGTCTGCGAGCCCGTCCACATCAGGGTCTGTTCAAGGTTGCCTACGTTGAAATTAATTGACTTTATTTCTTAGATGGCATGATGTCGGTGAAAAATCTGTTTCCTGGTTTGGGCTCTGCAATGTGACCTTCACCAGGTTTCTAACTGCACCTCAGGTTCTCCCTTTGTAAGACAAATGATATTGACTTAAGGTGACTGTTGTTAACTAAGGTGGTTTATTCCAAGGGCCTGGCTAGTGCTCAGTGTGGGCGCTCAGTGAGTGTGACTTCCCCCCCTCTCTGGAAGCCCCACAATACAATCAGAAGCAAATCTGGGGTCAAGTCATTTCATCTGATCTCAGTGAGGACATGCACCATGTTTGTTTCTGTTTGTAACCCTAGCACCCAGCACAGTACCTGGCTTAGAATGTTTGAATTGAGAGTTTAAAGTCATAGCTTCTAGGCGGCAGAGTTGGGCTAGAATCCAGGTCTGCTAATGCCAGATTTACCTGACAAGGAAGATGTTACGTAGATGTATGCATTGTTCAGAATGTGGCATTAATTTTGAGAAATAGCATTTTTATTGAGGTTTTATTGATTTGTTTCATAATGTTCCTATGACATTAGCCATTACAATGGATAAAATAAGATTTCTGATTTCAGATAGTATATCCTCTGAAAGCACAGATTTTTCTACAAGATATTTGGGGAGGCGTGGGGGAGTTGAAGTAAACATGGGAATAGGTTTAGTCTGTGGGCCTTTCCTCCTTTTTTCTCCCCACATCTAATGGATATAAGCATTTGGAATATATGCAACAAAAGCATTAATATGATTGGAAAACTATTACAAATTCGGAAATGGGAAGGTTCTCTCCCCCCACCCCCCAAGAATGCTTAATTTAAGTGGAATTGGAGTAGGACTCTGATCTGTTTTACATATATTGCTCTCAATACTAGCAAAACAGAAACAAAACATTCTGTGGGTTTAAAGATAATTCTTCCTATTTTTGTGGTGTTCAGAGAACAGACACAAGTTATGGTAACCTCATCATATGAGCTAAGATTTTAAGCCAATATAAAATTATAAGTCAGAGCATAAAAAAATCAAAGCAATTGAATCTAGCTTTGGTCAGCTCTTACCAGGTTTCCCATCCGTGCGCATTGCTCTGTCCACACTTTTTATTTCTGTAGCATGAAGTAGTGGTGGGCTGTGGGAAAGGTTTAAAACACACCTTTATAAGAATAACTTAATATTGAACAAATTATTTGTTTCTTTCTCTTTCCATGTTACTTATTTAATTCTAGCACAATAGTTTGAGAACCATTTATGTAGAGATGTTTTTTCACTAATATTTTCCCTTTATTTCCTAATTATTTAAATATCTTTGTTCAATTTGATTAATGTTTATGAGCACCTTTATTTGTATGCCTCTGTTCAGTACTGGATTCTGCAGGGTGCAGTATAGAATGTGGAAAGCTACAGTTTCTTCCTTTTAGGGCCTAGAGTTCCTCTAGAACAGCGGTTCTCAACCTGTGGGTCGCGACCCCTTTGGGGGTCGAACGACCCTTTCACAGGGGTTGCCTAAGACCATCGGAAAACATATATATAATTACATATTGTTTTTGTGATTAATCACCATGCTTTAATGATGTTCAATTTGTAACAATGAAATTGGGGGTCACCACAACATGAGGAACTGTATTAAAGGGTCACGGCATCAGGAAGGTTGAGAACCACTGCTCTAGAATAAGATAGGTGGTAACCTGTTGGTGATACTTCTGTACATGTACTGCATGGAGTATATTGAACAGATGTACTTTGTGGATCTGAAAAAAAAATTTTATGTGTGTGAGGGGAGGGAATATGTTATTCTAGTCCTTGACTCAACATTCATCACATTTTAAGTTTTTCAAATGGAATCTCTCATAAATCACTTGATTATTTGAATTGGTAATTTTTTAATGTGAGAAGTTATTACATTGATGGTTTACCTTTCAACAGATGCTGTTTCAGAATCAGGGTAGTAAGGTTATGGTCCAGGCTAGTACTAGGCCTTCCCCTTCGCTTATCTCTTTTAATCCTCATGACAACCCCCTTTTACAGGAGAGACAAATCTAGCCTCAGGGTAAAGACCTGATTACTACTTACTAGTGGGAGAAGAACTTGAACTTCGAACCCAGGGTGCTTTCCCAGCATCTCACACGTGAGGAACACCTCACATGTGAATACCCTGCAGCTAATATAGGAGGGGGGGTAACTGTCCTGTGACGGCTTCTGACGGTCGGGCTTGTGTCTTCACACAGGAGAGTCAGTGTTAGAGTGAGCATTGAGCTGCAAGCAGTGTCTAATCCGGTTCACAGAAAGGTGGGTATTCACTTTGATTTTGAACTATAATTTCTCTTACATTGCAGGTAATTATTTTTGTGGTTTAAGAATGTGAGATCTCTTTTACACCTATTTTGCTTTTAATTTGGGGCCATTTTGTACTTGCGGGTCCCGAGTGGGGGAATGAACTACGATACCACCTATTTCTAAAGCACAGAAGAATGGGGGTTGGGAGGCTGGGTCCCTGAGGTTTGCCCAGGACACTTATGATGCTAGAATATCTGTTGCTACCCTAGAGAGTTGGCATTTGCTGGTGTGCATGTGAGAACAGGATGGATGAATCTCTGCAGGGAGATATTCTTAAATCTTTCACTTTGCCTTTGGAAGAGCGGCAGTTAGAGCATCGGTCCTAGATGGTCTTCAGATGGATACAGACTACAGAGCTGAGAAGTAGGGCATTGTTTTCTCCACCACGGCTTTCTCTAAAACATCCAGGGACCTGGGAGTACTGGCAGCAGCTTCGTTTTTTTACAGCATCTTGGGGTGGATTTCAGGAAGTACTTCCATTGCAGTTGCTTGAAGAACAGGGCATTCTGAGGCAGAGCACATGCCTGGATTGCTGATTTTTGGAAGAGATTATCCATGTTCTTCCTGTGCGTGCCGGGGGACCCTTCATTTTCCAGCTCCTCATGGGTGGTGTAGGTTTTTCTAGGACCCCTAACAGTTCCTCAGTCGCCACAAGTAGGTTTCATGTCAAGCGGAACCTTATTCTGACCCCAGTGCCTGCTTCGTTATTGTCTCCTTCATCATCTTGTTGCTCTGCCTGTTTTCCTGACACCCGTGTCCTCTGAGTCCGTGATGTCGGTGTACTTTTCTGTCAGCTTTGGCTGCTGTGAGGAGCTGGCACACGGCCAACTTGGTCTGGAAGCAGGTCTTGATGAAAGGTGTTGACTCCTTTGAGACTGAGGCAGGTGGGTTCCACATGAGGCCATCTGGAGCAGGAGGGTGGCCCGGAGGAGGAAGCCTGGCAGCATGTCACCTGATACCCCGTCCTCTGCCCGAGACAAATGCTCCTTTTTCCCAGGGTGGACGGTTGTGATTTCTGCTCGTGTGTTTGCCACTTTTGAAATACCAGACAATTAACTTGCAGGAAACTGAAAATATGGTATAGTCAGTGGTAAAGAATATTTTTGTCATTGTGTCATAGTGTAGCAAGAGGGCTGGGTCTGAATTTTCCTAAGGCTCTGCTAGGATGATATTCCTAAACTTAAAGCTCCTAGCGTTTAATTAACTTCCTAACCCCCTAACACCTCCCCCCGTGGCTCTCAAGAAGCAGAATAAGTCCCCCTGTGAAGATGGAAGTCTGTAGGACTAGGGAAAGCCAGCAGCTCCAGGAAGCAGAGCCAGCTGAAGCCTGATGCAGATGCATTGATGTTGGGTGATCTCACTTTTTACTCAAAGGTACAGCTACTAAACACATTAAAAATCACTTTCTTTTAGGATTTAGTTATCCGTCTGACCGATGACACTGATCCATTTTTCCTCTATAACCTTGTTATATCGGAGGAAGATTTTCAGAGGTAACTAAATTTACTTTTCTGATCTTTTATTTAATCTAGGAATAAGTGAGTTTTTAAGTTCTATGAATGTATTGGTACTATTCTCTTTGAAATACATACATACCTATTAGGAACATTTAGGGATTTTGGGAACACTGGACTATTTATAATTACTCAGAACGTTTTTGGGAAAATAAGTATTTCATAGATTATTAGAGTTCTGCTTACAATCGCTCAGAAATTTGGATCTTTAGCTAAATTTATTGACCTTTTCCCTCTCATTGAATAAATTTTATAAAAATCAAAGTTCCCTAGTTTATTAAATCTTGATTATGCATGGTTAGTAAAGAAAAAATCATCTTCCAGGGTGTTAATTATAATAAAAGATAGTAGTTAAATTTTCTAAAAATATCTTTTCCTGTTTTCTGTGTAGTTTAAAATTCCAGCAAGGTCTTCTGGTAGACTTTTTAGCTTTCCCGCAGAAATTTATAGATCTGCTTCAGCAGTGTACTCAGGAGCATGCCAAGGAAACCCCAAGGTGAGTCTCAGAGCACCGCGTCACCTGCCTTCTCTCAACACCAGCTCTCTGTATAGGACAGGTGGATGGCACAGGATTCTCTATGTGTGACAGGTGTCCCTGTCCATCTTAAAAACGGGGGTTCCAGGGCTCCAATAAATCCTAAATTTACTTAATCTCACGATTAAAATCAGCAATATTTACTCTTAATTTTCATTATCTGAAATATTTAATAGCATCAAGTGTATGTTTTTATAATGAGCTTGGAAAAAGAGAATAAGTGGTTGTGTGTGTGTGTGTGCGCGCGCGCATGTGGGCATAAGATGCTGATGCCTGATCCTTTCAGTGTAAACTTCTCCAAGCTTTATCTGTTGCTTCTTCAGCTGATGGTTGTTGATCAACTCAGTTATGTCAGCAGGGACTACAAAATTATGCTTTTCTAATCCTATTCTTTCTATATTTATTGGTTATAATTCATTCATAATCAAGAACTTACCCTCATCAATTAGGGAGATTTGATTACTCTGAAAAGTCATACAATAAAGGATAAATGCTTAATTCTTTTAAATTGTCAATTTTTAGAGTAAGAAGTTGGTACTGTAGTTATTTTTGTGGTTTCAGTTTTTTATTTTAGTTCTTTGCTTTCTCTCATTTGTCTTTCATCGTGAAATCATGGGCATTAATATATTCATTATGTTTCAATCAGTCATGTTTCTTATCCAAGTTACACGTTTTACTATTTACACCAGTTTATCACATTTTACCGTTGGGAGTCTTTCATATTGGCCCCTAGGATTCCAATATGCCCCCTTTCCTGATCCTTCTAATCATTGATGATCCACTGAGTCATGGTGACTCAGTGGGAGAGTTTCACTATCTCATAACCGTGTGATAACATGACCCTTCGTTTCCCAAGGTTCCTGCTGCAGTTAGTGTCTCCAGCGGCTGTGTTGGATAACTCTCCTGTCCTTCTAAATGTGGTAGAGACAAATCCTTTTAAGCATCTTACACACCTCTCACTAAAACTTCTACCTGGCAGTGATGTGGAGATAAAGAAGTTTCTAGCAGGCTGTTTGAAATGTAGCAAGGTAAGATTTGAATTCAAGGTATTCTTTTAAAATAACTACCAAAGGACTCCAATAAACCACTGACGAGCTATATTGCTTTTAGTTTTGGTTTTCTGAGTAAGATGTCCAGAAATTTTTGTAACATGTAATGAGTTTATTTATTTTTCATTTACTCAAGATACAAAGACAGACCTGAACCAGGAACTGAGAAAGTTAGGTCCCAGGGTTTTGACTTCTTTTCTGCGATCTTGGGCAGGTCACTTAAACTCTGGGTGTCATAGTTTCATCAGCTTATCAATACGTGTAGGAATATCTAGCCCATCTTAAATTGAATGAAATAAAATAAGTGCAAATAAAACAAGTGCTCTGTACCAACATTGGGACGCCTCTTAAGCGTTTTCAGGAAGTCTCCTTAGTCAAATGCTGTAGACAGTGCATCTCAAAATGTAATTGCACACAGATCTAGGGATCTCGCTGGCGCAGATTTTGACTCAGAGGTCTGAGGTGGGGCCTGTGATTCAAGTTTCTAACAAACTCCAGCCTGATGTTGAGGCTGTACTTTGCTAAAGTTTGAGCGGTAGCATAATTAAATGGTAAGCGACATCATTTTATTTTTATAAACAGGAAGAAAAATTATCATTGACACAATCGCTAGAGGATGTTACTAGGCAACTGAATTTCACACAAAAGGTAAATCAGGTTTCATTTTTCTTTGTAAGTCATCCAAACATTGGCTCTGAATTGCCTCTGGAATCCCATCCAGGCTTCTGTGTATTTTTTTTTAAAGCATGCTATCACAGAATTCCTCCTCCTTTTCCCACCTTTTTCCTACCAGTTAGTTATCTTAACCGGATGCTTTAACTCTTTGATATTTTATTCCATCCAAACACTTTTGTTATCCCAGCATATGACACGTTTCCTCCAGGTCTTCATTAAGTAAGATAACGTATAGTGTCTGTTGCAGGTTCCTTCTCTGCTCCTCTTGTTTCCCTCATTCCTCTTGTCTAAAATGGCCTTTCAGTTTGTCTGTAAACCTTCCCCTTTTGTTATGTTTAGAATTAATTCCTCTGGTAGGTTTATCGTTTCAGTCATAGCTATTACTTTTTGCTCCTAGTACTTGAAACTGAGGACCACACTATCTGATAACCCGCTATTCTGCACAGCACGGCCCACCTTGGGAGCCTGTGCCTAGGCTTCACGTGTTAAGTGAATGCTTCTGACTGTCTGGCTCCAGCCGGGGTTTATACTTACTTCTTCATGCCAGAGGAGGGGACTGGGTGGGGAAGAGCCAGATTTAACTGAAAGGTTAAAGATAGACAAGCTTGACCGGTGGGCCGTTGCAGATCTGAAACTGCTTTTATTTTAATCTTGATTTCCTCAAATTCAAAAAATCTTTGTGTATATCTTGAAAAGCTGTGGTTCCATATTCCTTGATATCCTTGTTATATTGGCATGTTCTAACCTAATGACCTGTTCAAGAGACTCTTACTATTTTGTATTGAACTCTGATGCAGACATTATCAGAAAAAGTTCAAGAATTAGATAAGTTACGGAATGAATGGGCATCCCACACAGCAGAATTGTCGAGTAAGCATTCTCAGGAGCTGACCAGTGAGAGGGAAAAGGCCTTGCAGGTATGAACATCAGAGGGAACGGGGGAAATGTTTTGTTACTGCTTATTCATAGTGTTCATTATAAAAGTAATGTGTGCTTACTTTAAAGTGTTCGGACTTTATGGAGTCTATAAAAATTGTCTCCTTCAAAGTCTTACTACCCAGAGATAAACTATAAATATTTAATGGGTTTTTCAGACTTTTCTCCATACTTGTAAATAATACGTAATTTGTAAATATTTGTTTATATTTATAAAACTTGAAATGTGTAAACTATATATAATTATAGATACACTAGTGGCCCAGAGCGAGATATCACGCACAGTAGGCCACCTCGCTGCTTCTACGGGAGCCGGGCGGGAGCCGCGCCGCTTCGGGAGGCTGGAGGGAGCTGCTGCCGCTGCCTGCGGGAGCAGGGCAGGGACCTATAGGTGCTCCATGCATCTCCTGGTGACTGGTTGTGCACACAGCTCCACCCCTCGCTGCGCGCAGCCCTGCCCAGCCTGTTGAACGGTCGTTACTGTGACGTAGTATAGGACAATTTGCATATTACTTCTTTATGTAAATAGGTGTGTACACACATTGGGTTTTGGTTTTGTCCTCTGCTAATGAGATCCTCCTGGATCTATTGGCTGTAATGTTTTTTCACTAACATGACATTGTAGGTATCATTCCTTTTTGGTTCAGCAATTCCTTTTCAGTGGCTGCGTAGTATTCATTGTTTGGATATAATAAATTATTTAACTGCTTACCCAACTGATGGACATTTAAATGCTTCAAATTTTTGATTATTATAAATAATGCTGTAATGAACATTCCTTGTTTCTAGAAGTGAGATTGCAATATACCCAGATAAAATACTAATGGATGTTGCATACTATAATGTCAAGTGGCTGAAGGATTTGTTTGCCTTCCCTACTGCATTTTCTGATAGGTTGTGAATCAGTCCTTTGAGACTTTAAAACCAGCTGCTTTGTTCTCCTCTTGCTGATAGATATTCTATGGGGCAGTGATTAAAACTTGGATGTGTATCAGAATCATCTGAAATAAAGTAGAAAATCTAAATGATGTAATTCTGTCCCTCAACTTTCAAAAAAAAATCTCACACACACACACACACACACACACACACACACACTCACTCTCACTCACTCACTCCAAAATGGTGATGGTCACTGGGATAAAGCCAGTTTTCTCCTTTTTCTGCCTGTGACTCGGTTGCCGTGAGCGTGTGTTCCCCTAGCCGGCCGCGGTTAGCACCTCTCCCAGGCTCTGCTTGTTCCCTGGATCGCCCTTCAGTGTTGTCTTCCAGGGCGGCACTTGCAGTTCTATCTGGACTCTTACTTGTTTTATCTTTTTTGCTCCCTTCTCCCCTTTCCAGTTTTTAAAAAATGAGGGAATTTGTAAAGTAGTAATGTAACATTCCCAAAGTATTTTATGAAAAATTCCTGCACCTGTGGTAGGAATTTTTGAATGGGTACAACTTTCCTGGAATGCAATTTTATTTATTTTAATTTTATTTTTATTATTTTTATTTTTAAAAGCAAAACTTTATTTAGAAACTCACAGAGGTATAAAAAGTGAGCCATGGAAGAATTGAGCCAGCTCGGCTGGGTGGGCTCAGGAAACAAGTTACAGAGATAAAAGAATGGCCTTTGGAGCTTAGGAGAAAGAAAAGGGGAACGGGGGCGGGGGGAGGGGGGAAAAACATGCTGTAATGCAGTTTTAGAACTTGTATCAAGCTTTATATTTATTCACACTCTTTGACCTATAATTAATCATAAGGAAATAGTCTGAATTTTGGATGTATATCTATGTACAATGATAGGAATCATTTTATTTGTAATTGTGAAAAATTGGAAACTCAGTGACCACAGTAGCGCAGGGATTAAATGAAGGAAGGTACAGCTATGGGTGAAATGTTGTGCAACTACTCACATGTTTACAGAGTTTTTTTTAATGATGTGAGAAGGTGCAAATGGTAAGGGAATGAAAAGCATGATTAAATTGTATAAATAGTTTAGTCCTAATATGTTAAATTTAAATATGTATGAGGGATGTTTTTCCTAAATCTTTAGAATGAGTCCCTGGATGAGATTATTGGTCATTTGTGATTTCTTTGTGCCTTTAATAGCATATATAACTGTCATAATCAGAAAAGTGTAGTTTATTTTTAAAAAGTATTTAGGATTTGATAGTGCTCAACAGAAATTATTAAGATACATTTGTGGTATGATTCAAACAAGCAACATGGTATTACACAGTTAATACCATGTTCAGATTTTATTTTAGCTAAAATGTAACTACTAAATGTAGGGCTGAACTAATGCACAATACCTTGCTGATTTCACAAATTTAGGTGTGTGGTTTCTTTTTTTTGTTTGTTTGTTTTTGTTTTTGTTTAAGCAAATACTGTAAGTTCCTTATGTACCCTCTCATTTGGTTCACACTATATATACTGTTTTACAGTTTGCTTTTTTATTTCATCCTATATTGTTCTTCCCTGCATCTAAACATGTGTTTAGGAGGAGCAGAAGTTACGAGCGAGATTAGGGTGTCAGTCTGCCTTTGTTGACCTTACCTGCTCCTTCATGAAGTTCATGATTGAAAACAGCTCCTCTTCAAAACAAGGACATCTTATAATTACACAGAAGAATAACTGAGATTGTTTTTTTCTTCACATCTTCTTGTATTTGTACTTCTAGTTTTTTCCTTTGAATTTGGTACTCTATTTTATTATATAATAGGCGCAGGTGCAGTACCAACAGCAGCGTGAGCAGCAGAAGAAAGAGCTAGAAATCCTCCATCAGCGCAACACCCAGCAGCTGCAGAGCAGGCTGTCCGAGCTAGAAGCAGCTAACAAAGACCTCACCGAGAGGAGATACAAAGGCGACTCCACCATCAGAGAGCTTAAAGCAAAGCTGGCTGGAGTTGAGGAGGTATCGAGCGATGGGCTTGGTGCTTTTCCCCGACGTAAAGGAGTGTGAGCGACAGAACTGTTCACTCTTGACTTGGGTTCTCACCCTGGGTTCTCTTTAAAATCAGTTAGAGGGGTCTTACTGGGCCTCGCCCGGGCCATACCTCATACTAACTGATCAGAATCTCCCGAGGCTGGAACCAGGCATCAGGACAGACAGACCTGGGAGATATTTCGGGTTGGGTTCCAGAGCCCCACAGTACAGTGAGTGCGGTGATTTTTAAAACTCGTCAGGTGATTCAATATGCACATCAGCTTGAGAGCCACTGTGTAGATAGTGGAATGTTAAGGTTTTTAATTTATTAATCTTATGTATTTTGAAATTCTGTTATAATCAGTATTTATTACTGAAGTGATTTTTAAAACTGTAGATTTCAAGACAAATTTCTTAGCTAGTTTTTTCAAGTTGTAATTTATTCACAAGTTAGGATTGTTTTATTTTCCTTTGTGATTGGGTTAGTTTTTAGCCTGTTTCACAACTGGATTCCAAATCTACAAGTTACATATACCCTTAGACTTTTGTATCCTTCAAAACACATCAGTACTAGAACTTCAAAATTATTGAAGACTTTTTGTATTTTAAGCATCTTAATTATAGGTAACCAGACCAGCAGCTTTGCTTTTTCGCAGTGCCTCATTATTTACCGCCTCTAGGAGCTGCAGCGGGCCAAGCAGGAAGTGCTGTCTCTGCGAAGAGAGAACTCGACGCTCGATGCCGAGTGCCACGAGAAGGAGAAGCATGCTAATCAGCTGCAGACAAAAGTGGCTGTTCTAGAGCAGGAGATCAAGGACAAGGACCAGCTGGTCCTCAGAACAAAAGAAGCATTTGATACAATCCAGGAACAGAAGGTCTATTTTACAGTGTTGTAAACAAATTGATGATCACATTTATAGTGATGCTTTTCCTCAAAAAGGGCCCTAATTATTCATGTTTTTAAAAATATATCAGGTGGCTTTAGAAGAACACCGTGAGAAAAATCAGGTACAAATAGGAAAACTTGAATCAACCATAAAATCATTATCAGCGGAACTGCTTAAGGTTTGTCTTTGAAAATTTAACAGAATGTTAATATTTTATTGGATTATGTAGAAATATACATATGAAGCTCTTTTACAGGCAAATGAAATTATCAAGAAGTTACAAGGGGATCTGAAAACTTTGATGGGGAAATTGAAACTGAAAAATACAGTCACCATTCAGCAAGAGAAACTCTTGGCCGAAAAGGAAGAAAAATTACAAAAGGAACAAAAGGAATTACAAGAAGTTGGGCAGTCTCTCCGAAGTAAAGAGCAGGAGGTGGAGAACGTTTTATGCTTCTGTGTGATTATTTGTAAAAGATAACACATTTCCTCAGATTTCTACTTTGTTATAGTCGAGCATGGCTTTGGCTTCTTTTTTGTTTTTCAAAGAGCATGACTAGATTCAACAGAAGTTAATAACTTATTTTTGTTTGAAAAGTTAGTTATGACTCAAATACCTTTAGTGTTCATTTCTTAAATAGGTGAGCCTTCATTACTTAACAATAAGAGTAATGAACTCTTAAATTAATATCAGTCAGTACATTTCTTCAGTTTTTAATGTAGTCTTTTTTATACTTACGAGGATTGACTTATTTCAGGTATGCAAATTACAAGAACAATTAGAAGCTACAGTTCAAAAACTTGAGGAAAGCAAACAGCTTCTAAAAAATAATGAAAAGTGTAAGTATGTTACCTTTATATGTAAATGAAATTCATTGTTTTTAGTCATAACCTTAATATTATACTTAAATTCATAGAAAAGTCTAGGAAAATCAGGATATTGATATATGCAAATAATTTCTGCTTGAAATATACTGCCTTTTGTCTTTGCTATAGTAAATTATATTACCTGCCCTATAAAACAGTTACCATCATTAAAAGAAACTATCACCTATATCAGTGACTCAGAATTAAAAGTGTTAAAATATTAACTATAGCCGAACCGGTTTGGCTCAGTGGATAGAGCGTCGGCCTGCAGACTGAAGGGTCCCGGGTTCGATTCCGGTTAAGGGCATGTATCTTGGTTGCGGGCACATCCCCGGTGGGGGGCGTGCAGGAGGCAGCTGATTGATCTCTCTCATCGATGTTTCTGGCTCTCTATCCCTCTCCCTTCTTCTCTGTAAAAAATCAATAAAATATATTTAAAAAAAATATTAACTATAATTTACTTTTAAAATTCTTCCCTCTTTTTTAATTGCCGTATTTACCTAATAGTAATAATATAAATTATTTGAAACTAAAATACAAAATTAAGCCTTTAACATTTTTCTGAGTTATTATACTGGTTGTCAGGTATGAGTGTGAACTTTAAATAAACTGTAAGATACCATTCTTGAAATGAAAGTAATAGAATAAGGAGTTCTATGTGCTAAAATAAGAATCTTTTTTTTAATAAGAATCTTAAATGACAGAAATTTAAATTAACCTATATTGTTCTCCTGCTATATAAGGCAGTTTTATAAAATTTAAATTAAAAAAATAACCTCAGCATAATTTTTAATATTTAAAATTATAAGGAAAATAAAATCCTATATAATAAAGCGATAATATGCAAATTGACCCCCATGCCATAATGCCATCACAAGATGGCAGCACGCACAGCGGGGGCGGGGCAGCGGGGGCAGGGTCCGGTGGCTGCTCCACTCAGCCCGGAGGTGGGACATCGGGGTGGCACTCCAGGACTCGGGGCCGTTCAGCGGCGTGCCGGCCACAAAGGGTGGGACTCCGGGACTCAGGGTGGTCCCATGGCGCGGGGGTGGGGTGGGGGTCCCCGGGTCTCGCTTCGCGCGACGGGTCACTAGTAGCTTAATAAAGTTCTTCCCTTGTTTCTTGTTGTTTTCTATAAGTGATCACATGGTTAAATAAAGAACTAAATGATAATCAGCTAGTGAGAAAGCAGGACGTGCTGGGACCTTCTGCCACTCCACCGGTACATGCTAGCAGCACGATCAGAAGTGGACTGTCTCCTAGCTCTAACATGGTAAGATTTAAATGCAGGTGGGAGAGGTCTTAGTCAATTCCCTAAAACAAAAAGTATCCCCAGGTGGTCACGAAGTCTCCATGACACAGGCTGGTGCTGATAGCCTGGAGTCCACAGTCACTAGCACCGAGTAGGGTATGTCCCTGCAAGTGGAACGGGTGGACTGCTCTAACAGAGAGGCTGTGCTTCCAGGGCACACTTCTCGTAAGACGTCAGTAGATCTAGAAATCATTCGGTATTAACTAAAGTACTGCCAAACGCGCTGAAAACTTACACACACACACACACACACACACACACACACACTCACTCACTCACACTCACTCAGGAGGCCTCTGGAAGGTGAGAAGGATTGGGCTCCAGTTGGGAACTGTGGGGGAAGGGACCTCAACGGAATTGTATCAGAAAGAGGAAAGCCCTGTTAAGAGGCTTTTCACCTCTAGAGTCTAGAAAACCTGCTGCGCGAGAAGCTTGTAGCTCCCAGAGCAGATCTCGTGCTTTTCCCTCCAAGAAAGGCACCTAGGTGCTGCTAGGAGCTGGACTGGGTCTCCCAGCGAGGCCTTGGGCTCGCCTGTGGAACCTACGCATTTCAGTGTCGACATCGGACAAGCCCACTCTGACTGCCGGCTCAACACAAAAACAAGACCACTCCAGCCCTGGCTGGCGGCTCGGTTGGAGTGTTGTCCAGTGCACAAAAGGTTGCGGGTTCAATCCCCGGTTGTGCCGCATATGGGAGGCAACCGGTTTTTGTTTCTCTCTGTCCTTTCCTCTCTCCCTAAAAAAAGTAGTAAACATATCCTTAGGTGAGGATTAAAAAAGAAAAAGGAAAAAAAAAATGACAAAAATCTAGACATTGCCAAACCAACAAAATGGGCAGCCATCTTATCCTTGGTCACATGAGTGCTTCATTCCTAGTTACAGCTTTGGCTTGAATGCATTTCTCCTGCCTTAGGGGGCATTTACTCAGCTACCCTCACCTCCTGATAGCCTCCAACCCACAGGAAAGCCCCACGTTCTGAAACCGTCCCTGAAGTCATCCAGCACATGGCTGTCATTCCAGTCAATACTTCAGCAGCCTGTGTTCCTCATTGTGTGCGGTTTCCCTCATGCCAGGAGCAGTAATCAGCCCAGCGTGTCCACCCGTAGGTGTGTTCTGTAGTCCTGGCCAGAGTGCATTGGCAGAGGCCCTCAAACTCAAATGCCTGACTGAGTTTTATCTGCTCTAGTGAACCAGGTAGTACCTGGTGTTTAAAGAAGGGAAAGGAGCCCTGGCCGGTTTGCTCAGTGGATAGAATGCCAGCTCGCGGACTGAAGGGTCCTGGGTTCGATTTCGGTCAAGGGCATGTACCTCGGTTGCAGGCTCCATCCCTGTGCAGGCGGCAACCCATCAGTGTGTCTCTCAAATCGATGTTTCTCTGTGTCTCTCCCCCTCCACTCTCTGGAAAATTCAATGGAAAAATATCCTCAAGTGAAGATTAAAAAAAAAAGGGGATGGGGGGGAAGGATTTCGGCTGAGGTGCAAAAGGTGGAAAGAAGTGCCTGGTGCTTAATTACGAAGTTGAAAGAACTCCTGATCAGCCATGTGAAGGGTGTTTTTGTCATGCAGCCATTGATGTGCATTTACTACAGATTTGTGTTTCAGTTGGGCTCATTAAATAAACTGTTTCCATGTCATTGGTTAATGGTGTCGTCACTATAATGAAAGTTATTGGTAACGCAAATAATGGTCTCCATAGTCAGGTTAAGAACACTGATGCTCTGATTCTACTCACTGGCAGAAAATGATCTTATCCCTGATTGGTTTATTGATCTGTGAATCTATCCCATGGTCCCCCTTTTTAGGGAGGGGTGTGGGGCATTAGATCGAACCAAGATGCTTCCGAGTCTTTGTTTGAATAGTTCCAGGAGCCCGGCCAGTGGGACTCAGCTGGTTGAGCATCGTCGCATGCACCAGGAGGTCACCCGTTGGATTCAATTCCCAGTCAGGGCATGTGCCCGGGTTGTGGGCTCAATCCCCTTCCTCTTTCTGAAATCAATAAAAGAATTTAAAAAAAAATAGTTTGAGGCAGGTCCAGTGGTTGGTTGGTTGAGCTTGCCCAGCCCCTGGGAAAGGTGAGCTACCCCAGCCTCGTGGTGTGAACAAAACTGGCCTCTGAGATAATGCTGTTAACTCAGTTATTATAGCAGATGCTAATGTCTCTCGGATCAGCAAATGCTTATTTAGAAGCAATTTCTCATCCTTAAATGTTGTGTGTGTTCATTTTTAGGTTGATGGTAGGCTGACTTACCCAACTTGTGGCATCGGGTATCCGGTCTCCTCTGCATTTGGTTTCCAGAACACCTTCCCTCATCCCGTGTCTGCCAAAAATGCCATCCACCCGGCTTCAGGACCAAAGGTAAGAAAATTAACACGTAAGGAAACATATATAGCCAGTTATTAGCTTATAAACCCACTTTATCTTTAAAAACTGTATTAGGTAATGTGTTGGATGAGTACATCACTGTCTAGTGCAGTGGTCGGCAAACCGCGGCTCTCGAGCCACATGCGGCTCTTTGGCCCCTTGAGTGTGGCTCTTCCACAAAATACCACGTGCAGGCGCACGTACAGCGCGATTGAAACTTCGTGGCCCATGCGCAGAAGTCGGTTTTCGGCCTGGGCAAGTCTATTTTGAAGAAGTGGCGGTAGAAGAAGTGGGGGGTGTCGGTCGGTCAGGCGACGGGAGACATGGCACAGGTGGGGGGGGGGTGGGGGAGAAGGCGCGTGTGATTCATGCACGAGTTGAGGATGGGAGAGTTGGAAGGGGTCGACCTCAGTGAATGTACCTCAATCAGATTGAGGACGTTTTTAGCAAAGGCCAGCTTAGGAGTACCCTAATTAAGTTAATAACAATGTACCTACCTATATAGTTTAAGTTTTAAAAAATTTGGCTCTCAAAAGAAATTTCAATCGTTGTACTGTTGCTATTTGGCTCTGTTGACTAATGAGTTTGCCGACCACTGGTCTAGTGTGTAAGTCAAAATTAGAGGATTTTCTTCTCGAACTCGATGGAGTTGTGGTCACTGCCTGCTTTGGAGACTGCAGACTGGGTGGTCTTGTGCTAGCGTCTGCTGCGTGTGAACGGTGCCCCTTCATTCAGCTGGCGCTCTGCTACGGGCCAGTCTTCGCCCAGTGCTCAGCAATGGTCTCTGGCCTTACGCAGTCGATTTGTAGGATAAATTCTGGAAAGTAACTGGGCCGTAGGCATTTTGGCTTATCTGGCATTTCCCTGGTAATTAAGTGGGGAACATCTTTTTATATATTTATGGGCTATGTTTCTTTTATTAAATTCCTGTTTATCAGTTTTATTCATCTTTGGGTGATTTAATCCTTATAAAATGATGTCATGAATGTTCTTTATATGTTCCAAGACATTTACTGTTGGTTTTATATTTTTACTGTGGTTATTTCCCTATTTTGGACTTGTCTTTTTAGTCTCTTTCTGGTGCCTTTTTAACTTAAAACTTTACTAAGGTATGATTTACATACCGTAAATCTCCCATTGTGGAGTTCACAGCAGCGGTTCTCAACCTGTGGGTCGCGACCCCTTCGGCGGTCGAACGACCCTTTCACAGGGGTCGCCTAAGACCATCCTGCATATCAGATATTTACATTACGATTCAGAACAGTAGCAACATTACAGTTATGAAGTAGCAACGAAAATAATTTTATGGTTGGGTCACAACATGAGGAACTGTATTTAAAGGGCCAGAAGGTTGAGAACCACTGGTTTACAGTTTAATAATGTCAGTCAGTGTATACAGTTGTGAAAGCATCACAACAGGCAGTGCTAGAGCACTTACACTTTCCTCGGGGTTCCCCTAGTGCTTCCGCAGTGAATCCCCACTCGTCCCCAAGCAGCTAAGCGACAGCTGATGTGCTCTCTGCCTCTGTGACCTGCCTCCACACTTGATGTGGACTCGGGCAGGATGTCGCTTTCCCGTCTTTGCGCTCAGCACCGGGTTTGAGGTTGGTCGGGTGGTGGTGCGCATCAGCACCTCACTTCCGATTGCTCGTGCTGCTCCTCGCGTGGGGAGGCCACGCTTGCTCCTCCCTCTGCCATTGGGTGGACGTTCGTGTCATTTCCAGTTTGGGGCTGACTCCAATACAGCTGCCATGAGCGTTGGTGTGCAGCCTTTGTGTTTCCCTGGGGTGAATACCTGTGAATAGAATGACTGAGTGGGGCAGATATTTAATTTTTAAGAAACTGCCCAATTTTTCTGAAGTGTGGTCCAGTATTTGATAACATTCTTTTTGTTTGTTTTGTCCAGTTTTCTAATTGTTTATGATGGGTGGTCAGAAACTATTATGCATTGATATCTGATACTATTAGTTTTCCTCTCTTTTTGCATGTTGATTTTTTATAGGGAGTTTTAAAACCATCTTGTGTGGCTTTTTAAAAAAATCCTATTTCTGTTTAATGTTATGTTAAATGTGTAGAGCGCTGTAGGGAAAACCGGTATTTTGAGACTGTGGAACCTTGATAGCCAAGGACAGCAGCGTTTACCTTTCTGATTCTAATTTTATCCTGTTACACGAGCCTCTGTACCGGCTTTATTAGGAGTTTTTACCACAAGTAGACAGTTTTCATGTGCCTTTTCTTCTTTGATCTATTGGTGGGGATTTGTGTTTGTGGGTTTCCTGACGCAGATACATGTACACATCCCTGGCGTGAGACCCACGCAGTCACAGTCCCTATGTCTTTCAATAGACTTCCATCTCTCGTGCTGGTGTTTGGTTCGGACTTTTACATGGATTTTTGGAAAATTTGAATTCCTAGCCCTTGTTTATTAAATAACTCTGTGCATACACTTGTCTAAATGTGTTCGTGCTTTGTCTCCGCCGCTCATCTTGCTTGTGTGATAGGAACTGCTGGGGCAAGGAGAAATATCCTCAGATTAAATCTCCTCAACGAAATGTGTTTGTGTTATGAACTGTAGTGCTCCTGGACCTCTGTGCTCTCGATTATCAGGAAAAAAATGTACGCACCTCGCTCCGTATAGGTTTGTCTCCGTTCTCACCAGTTTCGTTACATGAGGTGTTTTCTCGCTTCACAGGTTCAGTTTAACTTGCAGTTAACAAAACCAAACCCGTCACTAGGGGATATTCAGTCAGGAACAACTCTCAGTGTGCCCGGCTCCGCTGATAAGGAAAAGTAAGTACTCCTTGACATAACGCGTGATGTTCGCCCTTTTGAAAATCATCTGAAAGCATTTCATCGGGGCCTGAAAAGCCAGGGCACCTGCTACTTATCTGCGACATTTTAAGTTGATGGTCCATGGAACTTAAATTCAGTCACTCTTGGCTATAAGAAAGGGGTTTTTCATATATTTTTGAAACTGTAGGATGCAGTTAGATATATAGTAAAATTTTGTTTTCTAAAATATTTTCTTATGTAACAAAGTCCCCTTTCAAATATTCGCGGGCAGGTAGCTAGAAATCTTACTACTTCCTGATAGTAGCCTGAGGAAACAGCTCGGTAACCTGCTGGGACCCTTCGGCAAGTAAGCGTACAGGCTGATGAGATTGTCCCAGCGAACATGCATACGTACGGCAGCTTTCCTGTCCGCTCGGCCCCGCTGGCCTGCCCAGCGCCTTCCTGTCCCTTGGATCTCAGACGGGTTCACCTGCCGTCCGTCGAATCAGCGAGTTGTGGCCGAATTAAACAGCTCAGATGTGCAGACTGGTCTTCATGTTCATAACATTGGTTTCTTGTCAGCCTGCTTCCTTGTTACAATGTGATGGCGTTCAGGGCCACCTGCTGGCACTGGTGGGCAGGAGCGGTCACCTCGGGTATTTAAACTATGAGACTAGCACGGTGCAGAGGCTGCTTCCCCAGCTCCCGGCCCCTTGTCCTGGCGGCTCTAAAGCTGCCATCCGACGATATGACAGCAGTCAGCCTGGGAGCCTCTTGCTTTTCCACTCTGGATGTTTACCTACTTACTCAGGTCACACACCAACCCAGCTGACTTGCACAACGTGTGACGATCATATTTGCAGAACAAAAATCAAGAAATCGTGTCCATAAAAGTAGGACTGGTCAGCTATTTTTTGCATTTTCTGTTGAAATTTGTTAGGTTTTGTTGTCAGCTAGTAAAAAGTGGCAGTGGGGATCAAAGATTAAAGAAGAAAAAAATTAAAATGGAAAAAATACCTGTTCATCTTTCCTGAAAACGGGGAAAAGACCTTCCTCTAATTTCAAGTTTATAAGGTCATCGTTTAGCAAGAGCTTTTCCTTTCCTGTTGCAAGGATCTACGAGAGAAGCTGCTGAGGGCAGGTTGGGGAGAAGGAATGCAGTGGCAGAAGGAGAAAAGACAAGGCGGACATGGCTTTCTTTTTGAAATATCACGTTTGTATTCATCTAACAGAATCCCTGTGTGACTGTGTAGTGGTATCTAATAATGACCCCTCTGAAGCACAGACTTTAAAGAGCTTTTGGTTAAAGAAAGAAGAAAAGCGTTCATTTAAACAGAGGAGGTAGTAAAGTCTCAATAGCTGATGCTCTCAGGGCATGCCCGGAGGTGTGCATAGTCCTCAGAGAGCTCGTTTCTCCCACATCCCAGCCCAGCTCTGCGGGTTTTAGTTTTACATGTTCTAATCCACTTTGCTGGGAAGAAGGGCACCGCAGCTTGTGGGCACACAAGTTATTTGCTTAAGAAAACAGTGACTAAAGTGATTTGTTTTGAACAAAACTATAAACATATATATAGTATATAGATTAGATGAATATTCACAATGAACTACTAAAGAGAAAAATAAGAGTTTAAGTAAATAATTACTATTTTCCTCTTAAGTGGTGAAAATGTAGGGCTGGAGCCCAAGTATCTGAAGAAAAGGGAGGACAGCATTCCTTTGCGGGGGCTCAGCCAGAATCTCTTCAGCACTGCAGGTGAGGCCTCTTCGTCCCGTCCATTGCGGTGGGAGGGAGGGGACCGAGGCTGAAGGGAGTCCACGTCACCTTCTCTTCCTCATTTGCAGACCATCAGAAAGATGGCCCGTTAGGAGCGCTGCAGACATCCTGCAAACCCGCCTCGGTCCCTTCCTCCTCCTCTGCGTACTTCCCCGGGCAGCTGCCTCACAGCTAACAGTGCCCTCTGCCCGCATGAGCTGGCACCGCCTGGTGGAGGAACCGTGCGGCAGGGGACATCCCGCACGCACGCAGGAGCAGTGGCAGAGCTGCCTGGCTGGGCAGCAGGCTGTGCGCGTATCGGGTGCTGCTGTTGTTGCTGTCCCTGCCGGCAGGCGGCTCAGAGGAGCCGATTGGACTTGGGGACTTGGGGAAGGGAGGCTCTCAGAGTCGGTGCCAGGCTTTGGTGTGTGAACACGGTGCTTTACAGGACAGCAGTGGGGGTTTTCTTAAACTCAGCCTGAGCAGCTCTTACACGTGCCAAGGCAAGGGTTGGTCGTTATAAGGGACGTTCTGATCACAGTGACTGCCTGGTAAAGTCACATTTGTCCGACAGAATGGGAGCCAGAGGATGCTAGTAATTCGTTTTATCATTTTCATTGGTAAAAAGTTTTAAATTTGCCACCTAAGAATTATGAGGGAAGATGGTTATCTCCTAAGGTGTCTATATTATCGATGATAATGTACAGTAAAGGGAAAAAGTCATGAAATTAAATCAATCCTTTATAGCAAGTATTTTCCTTGAAACCTTTCAGTTAGCTGTTGAATAACTTGGACATTTACGTGGCCAGATTAGGTATCAACTGCTTGAGTCATTTGAGCTGCAGTTTACAGGATTTTATTGTTTCCTGAAAGTCTATGCTCATCCAAATTTTCTTTCATTTGGAGTTTTATTAGTGTTTTATGCAGTTAAATTTGTATTAGTGGCGTTTTGTTTTGAAAATTAGTACTATACAAAAGAGCATCATGAATATTCATTGTACTTGCTTTTTAATTTCAAAACGGGTTTAATTGTGTGCGTAATAAAGTAGGCAACTTTCTCTTGGTTTAAGTTTCAAGTATGAGTAGTTTCTTGAGAAAAGGTAGGTGATTTAAAAAAATTCACCCAGAATCATAGGGCCCATTTTTCTTGTTGACAACCATCAAATCAAGAGTATCATTCTCTTAAGAAATGTCTCAGTTTTTATTTGTAAATATTGCTAATGTTCATTTAATCTTTCAAAAATTATTTTCAAGGACCATATTATACAGATAAGGAAAGAGACATTTCAAGATATTGACATATCAACAGTTCCAGGGTAAGACAAAGAATCTTTGCTAATTTTTTAATGAAGCCATATTGAATCTGATACTTTGCAACTGCTAGCAATTACAAGGTATCCTTAACTAGGGAACTCCCCTAAAACATTTAGTAACTGTTACTGGGCGATGACTTCTCATATGTAGTTGTTTCCTCATTTACATACCCCACATGCATAAGAACACTTGGTTACAGCACCTTGAAAGTGCTTATGGAGTGTGGGAAGAAGCCTCCTGGCCATGTTGATCTGCTCTTGTGAACATTGTGTAAACATATATGGACAGACTGTGGATGGGATGACATACAGGTAGCTTTTTAAAAATTTTTAATATAAATTAGAATTTCCAAAAGATAGATCACTTTGATGTGCCAAAGATTTTATATTAGATATACTTGTACTGACTTTTGAGTGTGCTAATTCTTTGCTCTACCTCTTAAACTTTTATTTGAAATTGTTTTGCAGTGTGAAGTATACATGTTAATAATCAGAATGTTGAATTTAATGTATTTCTGTGAACTGTGTGAGCTTGGTTAGTAATATTTTGGGAGTAGGACATGTAAAAAGTATATGACCCTGGCTGGTTTGGCTCAGCAGCTAGAGCTTCGGACTGCGGACCGAAGGGTCCCGGGTTCGATTCCGGTCAAGGGCACATACCTCGGTTTTAAGTTCCTCCCTGGCCAGGCCCTGGTCGGAGCACATGTGGGAGGCACATGTGTCAATGTGTCTCTCTCACATCAATGTTTCTCTCTTGCCGTCTTTCTTCCACTCTCCCTAAAAATCAATGGGAAAATATCCTCAGGTGAGGATTAAAAAAAACAAAAGTATATGAAAACTGGAAAAGGACTGATATACAACATCTCTGCTTAGAAACTTGCTTTCACTTATGGATTAAATTTTCACTGTTTGTCTTCCTACAAGAGTATTTTATAGTGAAGGGAAAGAAATGGATTCAGAGAGAAGGCATAAAGCTGTGATTTGTTACTGAGAAAGGATTATGGTGACAGCTAAACCGGCCCTAGAGGGAATCACAGATCAAGACTTTCTTTTAAAAATCATTAAAATATTTAATTTTATTAACAGAATATTTACATTTTTTAAGACCTTATTTAACCATAAGTGAATGTTCCAAGTTTAAAAAGCATTAAGCAATAATCACACACAAGATGAAAACCCTGTAAACTATACAATACTTTTATGTACAATTTTTACAAAGTAACACTTTTTTAAATAATATAACTGGACACAAAAATATACACTTTAGAGAAATTCACATCAGGAATCGTATAAAGCTCTCTCTAGGGTCCTGAAAATGTAGGACACACATTAGCTCTGTAAGTAAGTGTTACTGTGACAGTCCTGAAAGGCCACTATATATATGTATTTACATTAGACATCACGTGGACGTTTTCAAGGCTACCAGCTTGACTATAGGTTTCGGTTATGTGTTCAAGTGTTGAGGTTATGATTTTGCGAACATGAAAGGGTAGTGGTGTAAGGAGCTGGGGAACAACTGAGCCAACATGTAGGTTACAGGCTCCCAACACTCAACTGAATGAAACATGGCTGACATTTTATTTTAAAAACAGTAGTGAAGAATGTTTAAAATGACTACAAACAGGCTTGAAACATGATTCAGGTTTAGTATAATTCTCTCGAGTTTCTCTCCTGCAGACCGTTCCCTTACCATTTCTTTAGTGCATCTGCATTTAAGGCTTTGAATCATTTGACCCAGGTTTCACAAGGTTAAAGCGAGCAGGCCCACAGCCACGCCTCTGCTCCGTCCGCTGTGATTTGGATAAGCCTAAAGCCCAACACCTGGGGATGGTAGCAGAGACGCTGCTAGTATCTAAGAGTCACAGATAGAGCTTTAATGAAAGGACATATA